CGGCACTTTGATAATGCGGCATCAAAGGTTTTGTACTTACTTCTCAAAGAAATTTGCCGCTTTTCGGAAGTACATGGTTATGATACACGCGCCGGCGGCTTCTTTTGAAATCTAAAACAATCGTTGCCGCCACGCCGAAATCATAACATTTGACACTATTTGATTGCCGCCATAGGGTGTAGGTATACTCATGCAAAATAATTTCGAATTTTTTTACACGCTTTATATTATTGTTTGATTTGCGGCGGCATCCTTATCATAGAGCCGGCACGTGGCGAGGCGGCGCGGTAGAAAGCAAGGATCATAAATGTTTATTAAGAAACAGTTACTTCCATGGAAAACGACATATAGGTCAGTTGATTTTTCGAATTTCTTATCAAATCTTCAGTTATTTATTAATCTGCTTGATCTTTACTATGGCTATATTCATTCAAGCTCACAATGTTCCAATTCTAATACGTTTTTCTAGGATTTAAAGTAAACTTTAATAAATAGTAATAGACTAATAGGTAATTGCAAGACTTGCAAGACTCTTGCTGCAAGACCAAGACCAAGACCAAGACTGGGAGCGCAAGACCAAGACCAAGACCAAGACCAGGTGTATTGGCGCAAGACCAAGACCAAGATTGGCTAAGTCTCGTCTTGTTCTTGCGTTTGGGCAACACTAATTGTGCTCATATTTAATGATAGGGCTTTCCATATTCTGTGTTATATTCAATTTCTAGTTATTCACCCCCGCTAAAATAATATTCACCAGTTTACCTGTTTGTAGATAGAGTTCATAGTACATTAAGAATTAGACATTCAGATTTCATCTTTCAAACAAGTAAGTTTTGCTCCAGTAAACATCCAAAATAGTTTCCATTGTCGGACGAGTTTGATAGTTTTAATTTAGACGTTGAAATTTAGTTTTATTGATTAGAATAGAAGTTCAAGTAAATGTTTTAAATAAAACAGTAAATTTTTATTCTTCATCGAAATCACGATCCAATTTAACTATGTAGTTGCACAATATTAATTTGGCGTGCAACGTACAACGTTTGTACACTGCTTTATACAAATTTCTTTAAAATTTTGATTCTGTACATATTTTAACAATAGGAGGTATAAATAGCTGCATAATATTTCTATGATTTGTGAATGCAACTATATACTACATTCGTTTTGCGGATTGTGTTAATCTATTTATCTGCTTATGAATATCTACTCCTATATTCTTTATATTCGCGATACACCCCATGCTGTTTATGAGTCATCTTCTATTTTTCCGACTTTAAGGTTTGCAAGATTTTAAAATATATCAAAATCTTTATGT